CTCCAAAGCCCCTCTCCAGGTTTCCTGGAGGCTCCTTGATGGAGTTAACCCCCCATGGCTGGGGTGATTTGCCTCCGTAACTGCGCGGCCACCTCACACCCAGAGACATCAGTGGCCACCCAAAGAACCCCTTTTGCAGTTCGCTTCAGGGCCCGAGACACAACCTCTCCCCAGCAAAGCAGGCACCGAAGCAGAGGCGCCGGATGCCTCTTGTGCTTGGCTCTCCCCTCCTGCCCAGTGCCCCAGGGGAAGCCTGGAAGCTCCGTCTCGCAGGGAGAGCAAAGGGGAAAGTGGGGCTTGAAAGTTGCCTCCGAAACCCCGGCGGCTGAGCAGGGCAGGTTACGTGTGGGCAAGAGCAAGTCTCCTCCCCACTGCTCGTGCCGCTCCTACCCACCACCGGCACTGGCTGCTCCGTGCTCTTGGGGCTCCCCACGTCCCTCCCCACCCTTGGGGAGTCCCTGCACGACCGGTGCTTTCAAGGCATTGTCTTCTAAGCAAACAACCACCCCAAACCCAGGGCTTGGGAGAAGAGAAACACTCATCAAGGCGTTGTGCTTCACCTTCATGGCAGCGGGGAGAAGGAAATGTGCTCGCCAGGAGGCCTCAGCCAAAGCACGGGGGTGTAAAGATGTAGTATGAAGCTGAGCTGCAGATCTATAATTACTTGCAGCAACGAGTCTGGGCAGTTCCAGCTCAATATTGCTCAGTGCTGTTCCTTTTCCCTGTTTGCAGCCACTCCCTCCTATCTCTGGGGCATGCATTTAAAAAAAGAAGTTTGGAGAACTGGAATGCACTTGTCTAATTACAACCTGTTTTCTTCCCTTCTGGCTGGGGATGGGGGGCTGGGATAACAAACCTGTTTTTGGGGCACTGGAATCGAGTTTCTGCTCTCGCCTCTGGTTTGGAAGGGGAAGGAGAAGCAGCGGGCGAGCTGGGGAGGTGAGAAGTTTGCCTTGACGTGGCTTGTTGTGGCACGAGTGAGCTGTAGCTGGGCAGCTCTGGAGCACGGTGGGGGAAGAGGAGCCAGCGAGAGCTGGCAGCAGCGTTGGCAGGAGGAGCTCTCCCCAGAAAAGCCTAAATCAGGGACTTGGAGTCAGCCCCGAGCGCTTGAGGTTTAGCAGATTGCTTAACGTGCCGCTGTCACGCCCGTGGCGAGACGGGCTCTGCTTCCACCAGAGCGAGGAGGGGAGGGCTCCCAAAGTGGAAGGGACTTCGGTGGCACCGCAGGGTCACAACGCCCCAGCCGGGGCGGAGAGGAGCCCCTTCCCCTCGGCA